AGAGTCAAAATAGAACTACGTTTTAGATTCACACTATGCGCATATTTGTTAATATATATTTTTGAAAAAATGAGATGTAACCAGTGATATTTATTGGAATATCTAAATAATTCGGTTTAGTAGGTATTTTGAATTTAATATCTGTAGAAAATTTATGTAACAATTAACCTAAATAATGTTACAGAAATTAATTCCTCCAATGGATATACTGCTAATTTTTAATAATAATTAATATAATTTTCCGTTCTGTGTTTTGATAGTTGAAAGAGTAAATTTAATTAATAACTTAGCTTTTTTTACTTACATCATATCGTTGTTTTGTGAGATAATTGAAGTTTTACATTTGCAAGATTATTTCTTGATTGTTAAGACTGCTGTTAATTGTTTTTGGCACGACTTTTATCCAGTGTTATAGGAGATAAGGAGTAAAGATAAAAGTTGTTTTTATTTTTTGAACTTGGAATAACGATCTTCAACGTCAACATGAAAAGTTCATTTCATATAAAAATAAGTAGATTTATATGAAAAAACTTAAGCTATTCTATTTCTCTTGTTAAATATGGGTTTATGGGTTTATGGGTTTTTAACTCAAAATCGACGATAAGTAGAATGATTTTTACTTTTTATATATTATTTCATAATTCTCCAATTACCGACGTGAGACTTGCACAATACTTCTCCTCACGCTCAAACCAATCAGGATTAAAGCATGGAAACTTGTGAGAATAAATATTTACAGAAAGGTCCGATTGGAAAAGACGCAAAGATCGGATAGTTTTGATACCATGTTAAATATGGGTTTATATACTTCCAACTCAAAATCAATTGACAATAAATAAATTTATCATTATTTTTTATATATTATTTTACAAAATCTCCAACTATCATGTCAGATGTTCACAACATTTCCTGTCTCTTGTAAGAGTAGTTGGAGACTCAAGCTCTGAGGAAATCTTGTCTTACACATGTAGTTCCTCAGTTGTAATAAGATCTCTAATTTATAAGTTGAATATACATCGTCTCTGATTTCCACTTGCCAAAACCACCAGCTGTTCACCTACAGGCACCAGACAGGGAGCATATATCTACATGTGAATGAAATATTTTCGTTAATAATTGGTGTCTTGGCACGTTTATTGTGCGCTTAAAAAATAATATTGTATGTTTCATTACTACGTTATGATAATCTCTAGATTACTTAATGATAACGAGTACAGCGCAGAGTCATTGTGTTGAACTAATAATGCTTCTTAAAAAGTTTCATAGAAGATGTCTTTACAGTGTTCACATGTTTAATTAAGTATATTAAAGTTATTGCTATTTTACGGATATTATAAATATGCATAGACGCCCATGGATTATCAGACTCTCATCAAATAATTAGGTAGAGCCAATTAGCTTAATAATATAGAAACTGTATATAAAACTAGGTAAAAAAAAAACAAAACTAAGAAAAACGTTAACTTGATTTTTCTTTATCCTTAGTGTAGTGGCATTTGATAAAATCAATGGTAACTTTATAAAGAAACAATGATTGAGTTATATGGAAAAACACATGCAGCAATGTTTTGAAACTCGGACCAACCCGCCCAGTCGGACCGGTAAACTCAGAATCCAGTCACTATTCTGGTTTGAGTGTAGTATTAAAACTCGCTAGTTATTAAATCGGTAAAATCCAGAAAAAATCATCATTAACCGGTGATCCGACGACCCGGATAAACCAACCGAATACCGGATAATGAAAATTTTTTAAAATAACAAAAAAATTTAAAGGTTTTTTTTTGTCAACAGCTTTAACTAACTAGAACGGTTCGACTAGCCAAACCGGAGATACAGAGTTTACATAGATGATTTCTTGAGGGTGGATCCGGGCACTCCTTGCCAGGTTGTCCGCCTTCAAATTCTTCGTGCGCAGGATATGTGTAAGGAGGAAGAAATTGAAGATGTCCTTCATTCTTCCGATCTCCTCGAAATGTAGAGCGAAAGCTGGCCATTCGTCGGGTGTAGACACCATCTTCACCATCTCCGAACAGTCTGTTGCAAAAGCTACTTCCATCTTCTGGTTGAGAATCATGCAATGCATCGCCCATATGAGGGCCTCTACTTCTGCATGAAGAGCCGTGAGACTCCGTCTTACTTTCTGTGCTCACATTATTGTGTTCGTAATTTCTTCTTTAAAGTAATACCATCCTAGTCCTGCAAATGAGTCTGTATCTTTCCAAGAGCCATCTATATAACACCACAGCCCTTATAAGTCGTGCATGGTAAACATTGAACATTGGTAATATTCAAGTTGGGTGGCTCGTGTTCCTCCTTTTGGGTCTCCTCCCACAGATTCGCCTTTGTTTCCGCTATTTTTAACGTGACCTGTGGATCAATATCTTTGTTCGAGTATACTTTTTCATTCCGCGCCTTCCATATATACCATGCAATCCAAAGATATTGAGTATTTTTCGTCCCTTGTGGGATTCTCCAGAAAAGATGATCAAAATTTGAATAAACCGATGATCCCGGGAATATCCCAGGGGGCGACTGAATTTGGGATAATGCCCATGTCTATAAGGTCGGGGGACATTCAAACAGAACATAATTAATTGTTTCTTCCTCTACTCCACACCATGCATATTGCGTGTCGCATTGTATTTCTCGAGTGCGTAATCTAGCTGGTACTGAGAGACAGTGGGATAGAACTTGCCAAATAAAATGTCGTAGTTTGGGTGCACATTTTAATTTCCAGGCATATGCTTGTAATGCTTTGATGTCTGGACTATAGGGATCCAAATGGACGTCCTCGGGAATATCCCTTTCTGTCTTATATCCAGATTTAACCATGTATTGTCCGGATTTTGTAAAGTGCCACCCAAGCTAATCTGGCATGTAAGATCTACTAGTAGGTATGCCCTGAATAAAATTGAAAGGTTTTTGGAGTTGAAATATATAATTTACAGTTTATTCACTTCGTTTTAGAACTTTTTGTTTTTTTTTTTATTCACTAGTTGCGACTAGAGAAAACCTAAAACATGTTTATATCTTTAACAATTTTTTCAAATTTCTCTTTATCTTTATGTATAATTAATTGTTCACTTCAATTGTTTCATATTATTAATTTCATATTGTTACATAATTAATTAATTTATATTGTTGCTTTTTTTTTATTGATGAGTCATTGAAATTTTGTTTTTTTTGTATTTGTTACAATATTTATATCATGTTTCATTGAAATATGTATATATTTTTTGTGCAATAACTTTTTTTTTTAACAAAAATGTATATATTTATTCTTATATTAATATATTATATACAAATTTATTAAGTTAATGATCCGCGGTTGACCTGGCTCGACTCCGATTGACCTAATAACCCGGTGACCTAGAAGGTATTCCGGTTTGCTTTTTGGGTCGGATTTAAAAACATTGACATGCAGATACAATATAGCTAAATAACAATTTACATGTTTTCGTAACATGATAAAAATATTGTACCATAACAAAATGTATATATCTCATATCTTCTATATAATGTATGCAGTAACAAAAATGTTAAATGTTAAAATGTATGTTGCAATTAATATAAAATATTTATCCAAGAGATAAAAACATTTTCTTAGTGTCAAATTTATAGGTACTATTGATTTTTAGTGAATTAGATATAAATAAAACACGTTATTAAAAGATATATTATATATTAGAAAAATTATTCACAATATAAGAACTACATTTTCCAATAAATCATAATATATACCGTTTTATATTTATTTCTAACAAGTTAATATAAAAGATTACAATTATTTGTAACAATTCATAATTTAAACAAAAAAATAACTGCAACAAAATCGATATGCAGATTGAACACCCCTACAAATTATAGAATTGTGAAGTTAAGGACTCAGAATCATTTCGAATCCTCTAAATGATCATTTGCGATAGATCAATAAACTATAAATTTTAATATCGACCTTACACAAATTTCTTTTTCCATATTAACAGTCTGCACAGACACTATATGATCACCGGACATTGATAACAATCAGTAATCATATTCACCTAAACACACTTTCGTGGATTAATAGCAACAAAACATGAATCCTTTATATAATTAACTTCCTTCACATATAAATCCTTAACAACATATGAATTTGAGTACCAAATGTTTTACAGGAGTGTCTGTGTGTGACATCGACCTTATAGTTGTGTGTCTTCATTTCTCCTTCAGTTAGGCCATATAAAATGCACTAAACCTTGCTTTTCTGACATTTTTTTTTCTGCACCTTACTACTTTCAGTATTTGAATCGGGTATATAAATTTATTATACATAATCTTCGGAATGCAAATTACTACATAAACAAAATATATGTCATATGTTGAAAACAACAACACAAAAAAATGAAATTACACAACACTTTTTTTTTAGTAAAACCTTATTCGCTACCAAATTATTAGATCTGTTATTTTTGTTTCCATAATCAATTTTATTTTGATGCGAGTTGTGTGCATTCAAACCTGAAATATGTCACACATTCCAAAAATCAGCCAAACCACTTCTGAATTATATAATTACGAAAAAAAAATTACAATTACGAAACGCCAAAAAAATCCTTTCCTAATGGTTTATGAAGGTTAATATCGTTGAAACCATAATTAATGTCAAATCAATGCTATTGTCTTTTTTTCTTTCTTAACATCTCACGAAACAATCTTATTAATATTTATTTCATTGTCATTTGACCTTATAATTCTATCAAGGACCTTTCTTCATTCAGAATTATTTTTGTCTTGGAGTAATAAAAGTCGTATAGTACATTTTTGATTTTTCTACGTTATATTATTGTTAAGATTAAATAATGCGAAAGAAAAAAAGCCACATGTAAAATGAGGACAGAGCTAAGTGTGTGGTTGGCTATTATAATTATTTTCAGTCAATAATATTGACTAAAATTATTCAACCATTTTCATATATTTTTAATCAGTTAAACTGATTACCTTTATGCCTTGAGCAAGGAGATAGCACGAGGCATGTGTTGAGTATATAAATATGCATCGAGGCAGCCGCTGATTATCACAATTCTCATCAAATATTAACTACCAAACAAGAAAAGAAGAGTGAGAACAGAGAAAGAGAAGATCAATCATGTCTGCCACTCCAGAATGGGTCATGGTTGGAGGAGAAGGTCCTGAGAGTTACAACCAGAATTCATACTATCAGGTTAAATGATTTTGAAATTTCTGTCTAAGATCTGCAATTCTGATATTTAAACTTCCTACGTGGTATTTGGATTGATATTATGTATTATAATCTCCTCTTTGATTTGGTTTCTCACAGAGAGCGTTGTTGGAAGCCGCAAAAGAAAAGATGAACGAGGCAATCTCATCAAAACTCAGCCTTGACATGATCTCTGATCGCTTCAGTGTAGCGGATTTCGGTTGTGCGACTGGACCAAACACTTTTGTGGCCGTCCAAAACATAATAGATGCTGTAGAAGACAAGTACCGTAAAGAAACCGGACAAAACCCGGCAGATAACATCGAGTTTCAAGTCCTCTTCAACGACTTTACCACCAACGATTTCAACACTCTCTTCCAGTCACTTCCTCAGGGCAGGCGATACTATAGCGCCGGGGTTCCTGGTTCTTTCTTCGAACGTGTTCTTCCTAAGCAGAGTTTCCACATTGGAGTTATCAATTACGCGTTTCATTTCACCTCCAAAATCCCCAAAGGGATCACTGACCGGGACTCTCCCTCGTGGAACAGAGACATGCACTGCACTGGCTTCAACGAAGCGGTCAAGAAAGCTTATCTTGATCAGTACTCGGCTGACACCAAGAATCTACTAGACGCTAGAGCTGAAGAGCTTGTCCCCGGGGGATTGATGTTGCTTTTTGGGTCGTGTCTAAGAGACGGAGTTAAGATGTCCGAGACCGCTAAAGGAATTGTGTTGGATATTGTCGGAGATTCTCTTAACGATCTTGCTCAACAGGTACATATTAGGATGTTAACTAATTAGTTGAATCAACACTTAAAATTACATAACTAACATTATCTTCTTCTTCTTCTTCTTCTTCTTTGATTAAAAGGGTGTCATTGAGCAAGACAAGGTGGATTCTTTCAGCACACCACTCTACTTTGCAGAAGAAGGAGAGATAAGGCAAATCATAAAGGAGAACGGGAAGTTCACAATCGAGGCTTTCGAGGATATTGTTCACTCCAAGGGAGAGTTTACGATTGACCCCAAGATCTTGGCCGTCTCTTGCAGGGCCTCCTTTGGATCTTTCTTATCAGCACATTTTGGAGGAGAAGTTATTACAAAAGCCTTTGAGCTCATAGAGGCCAAGGCACGCCAAGAACTTCCTCGTTTCCACAATGCCAAACCCGGAATGCAGTACCTCATCGTGCTTCGCAAGAATTGATGATGCAAACATATTATTATGATCTCTCAATGTTAATTTGTGGCTCCATTGTTGTTTCTCTTCTCCAAATTGCCTCATGGTATTTTGTCTTCATATTCTTCTTCGTTGATGTGTTAGCGTATTTGTATTGTTTCCAATCCCACAAATTAATAAATGTCTGTTTACAATTTATGATTTAGCTTATACATATAAGAGCGTTACTGATGATGATGAATACTATGGATTGTTAAAAATAGTGTTCTGTTTTAGACCCATTTATAAACCCGGTGATTGGATTACTGGACGACTAAACTCGCCTTAGGGGATTAGTCGGGTGCTATAAACTAAAATCTTTCGTTTTTTTTTTTTTAATTTGTGATGCTCTAAAAAACCAAGCACGCAAAGGTTTAGAATATTATGAACTCTTGGAAGTTCATCTTCTCTCATTGAATTCTAAAATGTTTTAAAGATCTGAGATCTGATTTTAAGATTATCCCTATTGAATACGATAGAAGATTAGTTTGAAATGCTGCGCTAAACTACAATCACATATTATAATATTTTCGTTAATAGTTTGGTGTCTTGGCAGTTGGCACGTTTATTATGCTTCCAAAAATAATATGTTACATTTTCTAAGTAACATTAAAGCTAACCTTTTTTTTTTTGTCAACAACTTGTTAGGAAGGAAAGAACCATATATCGATCAATCGATGACGAATACAATGCAGAGTTTTGTTGAACTAATCATGCATTTTAGACTTCGTAATAGAAGGGTAGGAGAAACGCAGTTTTATTTTATTTTATGTATAAATTTTATCTTTTTAGATCTTCATTTCGGTTTTTGATTTTCGACTTCCAATCCTGCCATGTCTATTTTTATTTTTAAAAAATTATTAATAACCATAATAATCGTTTCTATCATTTTCTCTCATACTATTTAACTTTCTCAATTTATCATTTAAAGTTTTTGTTTTCCCATATTTTTCATTATCCCATTTTTCTTTAGGCTTTTAATTGTTTATATTTATTTTCTTTTCGTATGCTTTTTTAATGTTTTTCTTTTGATATCTTCATCTCTCCATTCTTAACAATTTGTTTTTATTTCGTGATAGTTTGAGAGCAGCCACAAATCAGGCAGTGGAAGAGGAACGGCAATCATATGAGAGATGGAACCATCTGGCAGATATAGAGGAAAAAATTTTCAGGCAGAGGGCAAAACTGTTCTGGCTGAGAGCAGGGGATCACAACATAAAAGCTTTTTTCAAAGCAGTAAATACCAGAGCTCTGAGAAACAAGATCAGTGAGGTTCTCCGAGCAGATAGGACTATAGTCTTGGACTCTGAGGGTATCAAATAAGAGGCTGTGAATCATTTCCGAGATTTTCTAAACTATAAGCCAACAGATTTGGCGTAGCGTAAGCGTAACGTCTCGATTGCTCGTTGATTCACAGAATGGCCGAACAAAGGAGAAAGCTTGTAGCTCGTTGATTCGAAGGAATAGCCGAGAAACAAGAGAGATATAAGCTTGAAAAGCTCTGAATAATTCAATAAAAGCAAAGTTGGTTTCTCGTTACAAAGAGGAAGCTATTTATAATAGCTGCTAGACGAAAATCCTAAACAAATACGAAAAGGAAATAGTCTTAAAGCCCAAGTAATATGAAAACCAAACAAAAGTAAAAACCCATAGCAAAAATAATAAAGAAATAGAAACTTTAAGATAGATATGATAAGATGCGCTGCATCAGGTCCCTCCGGGTAGAAGAAGATTCGTCTCTGAATCTGGAATGTCATTATCGCCCTGATACTTAGAGATGTATTTGACGTTAAAAACATCAGCGGTCTTAAGGTGAGGAGGAAGCTTCAACCTGTACGCATTGTTATTGATGCGCTGTAGTACTTCGACGGGACCTATCTTTCTAGAACGAAGCTTATTGTACTCCTGTGATGGCATACGATCCTTTGTGAGAACAACCCACACTAAATCACGGGGTTCAAAAATCACCTCGCGACGCTTTCCATCAGCACGACGCTTTCCATCAGCACGACGCTTGTACTTTTGCGCAGACAAGCTAAGCTGATCATGAGTCTGTCGATGTGTATCCTGCAATGCCTCCACAAAATCTACTGCACGACCATGAAAGCGACGCCTGTCCAGAACGGTAGTAAGATCTAACGGTCCCCGAGGTAGAAGACTTTAAACGACCTCGAATGGGCAAAAACCGGAACTCCTATTAGTTGCCCGGTTGTGTGCGAATTCCGCTTGGCAGAGACAAGATTCCCACGCGCGAATGTTCTCACCAACAAGACATCGCAGCATATTACCCAGAGCATGGTTAATCACCTCCGTTTGTCCATCCGTTTGGGGATGATAAGCGGTGCTCATGTCAAGTCGCGTATGCAAAAGCTTCCACAACGAACGCCAAAAGTGACTTAGAAAACGTGTGTCGCGATCAGAAACAATAGACGACGGCAAACCATGTAACCTGTAGATCTCCTGAAAGAAGAGAGAAACAACCCTCACGGCATCCGTTGTTCGCTTACATGGCACGAAATGAGCCATTTTGGAGAAATGATCAACAACAACAAAGATCGAATCATTGCCGCGTTGGGAACGAGGAAGCCCGAGAACGAAGTCCATACTCAAGTCAGTCCATGGCTGTGTTGGTATCGGAAATGGAAGATACAACCCCGCATTCGAAGCTTGACCTTTAGCCAGTTGACACGCTCGAAAACGCTCCACAAATCGCTCCACATCGCGACGAAGGGACGGCCAGTAATAAGATGCCGATACAAGCTGCAATGTGCGATCCCTGCCCACATGACCTTCATTGTGGAGCTCCTCGATCACTCGCAGGCGAAGGCTACAATCAGGGATACATAATTGGACTCCCTTGAAAAAAAAAGCCATCGGTATAGGTAAAATCTGCTTGCTGACCAGCCTTGACTGTCTCAAAAATTTTACCAAAGAACGGATCAGATGGATAGAGCTCTGAAAACGGCGCAAAACCTGGAACTGTAGTATGTATCGTCGTCAACAAAGAACGCCGTCGGCTGAGAGCATCTGCCACACGGTTCAACTTTCCTGCTTTAGGTCGAATTGAGAAAGTAAACTGCTGCAAGAAAGCAATCCACGAGGCATGCCGAGAAGACACTTTCACCTGACTGTCCAAATGCTTTAATGCGTCATGATCGGTAAAGAGTATGAAATCACGATGCACCAAATAGTGACGCCAGTGCTTGATGGCCTGCACCACAGCGTAGAACTCCACGTCATAGGTACTGTAACGACAACGAGTCCCTAATAACTTTTCGCTAAAGAATGCGACATGGCGAGAATTCTGACTCAAGACTGCGCCAATCCCCAATTTAGAAGCATCGCAATGTAGCTCAAAGGTCTCAGTGAAATCCAGTAACACAAGAACTGGAGCTGTGGTGAGCTTCTCCTTGACGAGGGAAAACGCAGCACTAGCCGCTGGGGTCCAACAAAAGGTATCGGCCTTCATTCAATCAGTCAAAGGAGCCATAATGGTGCTGAAATGAGAGACAAACCGTCGATAAAACGACGCCAGACTATGAAACGAACGCACCTCCGAAATGGATTTAGGTTCGGGCCAAGAGCGCACCGCAGCCACCTTTCCTTCGTCCATAGGCAAGCCCTTAGCCGAAACCACATAGCCCAAAAACAACACTCTAGAGACGCCCCATTCACACTTCTGTGCCGCGACAAACAATATTTCCTTACGCAGCACCAAAAGAACCTCACGCAAATGAGAAAGATGGTCCTCCAGCGACGCGCTAAACACCAGAATATCGTCAAAATACACCACCACAAACTTGCCAATATAGGCGCGCAAAGCCTGGTTCATCACGCGCATAAAGGTACTGGGCGCATTGGACAAACCGAAAGGCATCACAAGCCACTCAAACAATCCCTCACACGTCTTAAAAGCTGTCTTCCACTCATCTCCTAGGCGAATTCGAATTTGGTTATATCCACTCTTCAAATCCAACTTAGAGAAGACCTTGCACTACCAATCTGATCCAACAAATCATCAGGACGAGGAATAGGAAAGCGATATCGTACAGTAATCTTGTTGATCGCTCTGCTGTCCACACACATACGCCAAGAACCATCTTTCTTGGGTATCAACAACGCTGGAACCACACAAGGACTTAAGCTCTCCCTGACATGTTCTTTTGCGATCAACGCTTCAACCTGACGTCGCAACTCCTCATGCTCTTGGGGACTCATGCGGTAGTGAGGACGATTTGGTAAAGACGCGCCTGGAACAAGATCAATGTGATGCTGAATATCACGAAGAGGAGGGAGTCCCTGTGGCAACTCACTCGGCGACACGTCCCTGAACTCCTCTAATAAGCCCGCTATCTGTGGAGGTAACACGCTAGGTGCATCTGATGGCACTGAAGAGGACAAAAGAACAATCGCAAACCCTGTGTCCTGAAACTCAGATTGAAACAAAGTTAATGAACACAATAGAACTGGCGTAGGAGGAGTACACTCAACGGCGTGTGGAGGAGACAGCTCCGACAATGCTCGCGATGGAGATGGCGAGAATGGAGGATTCGGAGTGAGGATGATACGCCTGTTCGTAAACACGAACGAGTAAGTGTTGCTCTTCCCATGGTGCATGACGTAACGATCATACTGCCATGGACGGCCCAAAAACAAATGACTGACATCCATAGGTACGATATCACAAAAGAGCTTGTCTTTGTAGTGGGTACCGATGGAGAACGAGACCAACGTGCGATGAGTGATGCGAACCTCGGTATCGTCTTTCAGCCAAGTCAGTTTATACGGAGCAGGATGTTCCTCCCGTCGCAGACTCAGTTTACGACATGCTTTTTCCGACACCACATTCCGACAGCTACCAGAGTCGATAACAAATCGGCACACCTTGCCCTTGATCGTACAGGTAGACTGAAAGATATTCGATCTAAGCCACGGTTCCTTATTCGCTACCGGGGATATGCAGACACGAACCACCAATGACTGACCATGGTCGCCCGAAGTATGTTTTACAGGTAGCTCGTCATTCTCGAGTTCCTGCCCCTCCTCATCATCACCGTCCCATTTGATCTCATCTATGAGCAACCCACGACGAGATTTCTTTGGGCAGGCCGTCTGAAGATGACCCTGCTTGCCGCACGTGTAGCAACAGAGCATGTTAGGTCGCGACGAGCGACGCAATGCTTGGACGTCACCAGCATTGTCTTGGTTAGGACCACTGTTCTGAGACCCATCGACAATGTCCTTGCCCGTGTGATTGGCCTGAGCCGCTTCCCCATTTGTTGACCCAATGACACGGTTGCGGTTAGCTGAAGACCAGTTGGAACCCGATTTAAATTGTTGCTCAAAAGCCACTGCACGACGGTGCGCTTCTGCCAAAGAGGTAGGATCGAACTGTATCATCGCGGTCTGGATCTGTTGTCTTAAGCCTCCAATAAAGCGTGATACTAGCTGTATCTCAGAGTCAAAGATCTCATTACGCGTCACCAAGAGAAAAAATTCGTCGGCATACTCATCAACAGTACGCGACCCTTGACGCAGATTCTGTAGTCTCGTATACATTGTGTGATCATAGTTCTGCGGCAAAAACGCTTGTTTGAGATGCTTCTGCAATTTGTCCCATGTACTGATTTTGTCTCTACCGGTGCGAGACCTTGTCGATTTCAATTGCATCCACCAGGATGCAGCTCTGCCACGAAACTTCGTTGCAACAAGAGCAACCTTACGATCTTCAGGAACATGTTTGAATTCCATCGCCTCATCCACAGCGACAAGCCAGTCAAGGAGCTCGTCTCCGCGTGCGCCACCATGAAATTCTGGAATCTCCACTTTAAAGCTCGATTCCCAGTTCCGATCGCCTCTGTCAAACCCGCGATCCCCGACACGCTGTCGCCTTTGCTGATCCCGAGCAAACGGATTAACACGCGAGTCGACTGATTCCTCATCTGAACCCTGCGATGACTGTTGTTGGCGATGCTGCTCGCGATGGTTCAAGACTGTCTCTGCGAGTTCCTGAATGGAGGTGGTGATCGTGGCCTGAATATTTTCCTGCATAGCCAAGAGCGTTCGACGAAGCTCAGCCCACTCGTTAACTGATTCTTCGTTGCGTACGTCTTGTTGATGCTGGGGGTTGCGCTTAGGAGCCATCTCGGATCGAAAAGAACACAACAGGAACGGTGCTGGCTCTGATACCAAAACTTGCGTAGCGTAAGCGTAACGTCTCGATTGCTCGTTGATTCACAGAATAGCCGAACAAAGTAGAAAGCTTGTAGCTCGTTGATTCGAAGGAATAGCCGAGAAACAAGAGAGATATAAGCTTGAAAAGCTCTGAATAATTCAATAAAAGCAAAGTTGGTTTCTCGTTACAAAGAGGAAGCTATTTATAATAGCTGCTAGACGAAAACCTTAAACAAATACGAAAAGGAAATAGTCTTAAAGCCCAAGTAATATGAAAACCAAACATAAGTAAAAACCCATAGCAAAAATAATAAGGAAATAGAAACTTTAAGATAGATATGATAAGATGTGCTGCATCAAGATTACACCCCATGGGAGATAGAAGATCCAGAAAACATTGTTGATTACAAATGTGCAGAAGAAGATAAGCAGCTTCTCATTCATGAAGTTAGTGAAACATAAATTAAGAAGGCCCTCTTCTCCATGCCAAGGGACAAGTCCCCAGGACCAGATGGATATACAGTTGAGTTTTTTAAAGAATCTTGGTCGATAGTTAGATAAGATCTCCTGATCGCAGTGCAATCCTTCTTCAAGATGGGGTTATTACCAAAGGGTATCAACTCAACAATATTGGCTCTGATTCCAAAGAAAAAAGAAGCTTTAACTATGAAGGATTACAAACCAATCTCCTGCTGTAATTTCATCTACAAACTGATATCAAAGATTTTAGCGAACCGTTTGAAGATCATCCTCCCTAAGTTTATTGCACCGAATCAATCAGCCTTTGTCAAAAATTGCTTACTTATGGAAAACTATTACTAGCTATTGAGCTAGTAAAATATTATCATAAGGAAAACATCTCTGCAAGATGTGCTATGAAGATAGACATTTCCAAAGCCTTTGATTCAGTGCAATGGAAATTTTTACTAAACATTCTAAGGGCAATGGAATTCCCGGCCAAGTATGTGCATTGGATACACCTCTGTATTGCATCTGTATCATTCTCAGTCCAAATAAATGGTGAGCTGGCTGGATACTTTGGTAGTGCTAGAGGATTAAGACAAGGTTGCTCTCTGTCTTTCTACTTGTTTGTCATCTGTATGAAGACAAAAGGATCAGCTACCATCCAGGCTGCAAAGATTTTAATTTAACTCATTTGAGTTTTGCTGATGATCTAACGGTATTTGTTGTTGGAGAAAAAGCATTCTATTGTTCGGGTATTGAAAATGTTTGAGGAATTTGCAACTCATTCAGGATTGCATATTAGTATTGAGAAATCGACAATGTATATGGCTGGCATTGCTGATCAACACAAGGATGAGATCCTAGGATAATTCCCATTTGAGCATGGCACATTACCAGTAAGGTATTTAGGCCTACCCTTGCTAACCAGGAAGATGCATAAGTCAGACTACAATCCATTGGTTGAGAAAATTAGGAATCAGATAGGATCTTGGTCGGCCAAGAATCTCTCTTTCGATGGCCGCCTCCAACTTCTTAAGTCTGTAATATTTAGTCTGACAAATTTCTGAATGGCTGCATTCAAACTTCCTAAATCATGTATACAAGATATAGACAAACTTTGTGCAGCTTTCTTATGGTCTGGTCAAGATCTTAATGCAAAAAAAAGCCAGTCTCATGGAAGGTCGTCTGCTCACTGAGAGAGGAAGGTGGATTGGGAATCAAACCTTTGGAGCTGGTAAACAAAGTCTGTGTATGAAAGCTTATTTGGAGGCTGTTATCTGCTAGGGACTCTCTTTGGGTGAATTGGATCCACAAGCATCTGATAAGGAAAAACTCTTTTTGGGCAGTTAAGGAAACAACAACTTTAGGATCCTGGATCTGGGAAAAAATGCTCAAATATAGAGATTTGGCACAAAAATAATTATGGAGTGAAGTTCAGAATGGATACCGAGTTTCCTTCTGGTATGACAAATGGAGCAGCTTGGGTTCTTGTATGATACGCTGGGTTGGAGAGGATGTATAGACCTTGGAATAATAAGTAACGCTTCTCTCGTGAAATTGCTTGATCATAATAAGAGAAGAAGACACCAAAACCAGTATCTAATGCAAGTGGAGGAGGTAATACAGATCACCAAACAGCAAAGAACCCAAGACGAGGAAGATGTAGCTTTATGGAGAGGAAAAGGCGGAGATTATAAAAACAAATTCAATTCGAAGGAAACAGGGGAAGCAATGAGAACAACAGGTGCTGTGTGGGAACCCTCACGAGGTTTCTGGTTTTCGGGAGCCACTCCAAAGTACTCTTTCGTCGCTTGGTTAGCTGCAAAGAATTGACTCTCAACAGGGATCAGAATGGGAAGGTGGAATATCTCGGCATCTACAGGTTGTTCTCGGCATCTAAACACTTGAAAGCAGAGAACATCTATTATTCATTTGTCCATATACTAAAGCAGTGTGGACAGAGCTAGTGAAGAGGATTATGGGGACTGGATTCTTAGAGCAATGGACGGAGGTGATTAAGTGTGTAACACGTTCACCGTATGATGCAACAAGGACCTTCATCCTCTGATACATATTTCAGGCAGCAATACATACGATCTGGTGCGAGATAAATAATAGAAGACACGGAGAGCCACCAAATCCATCAGGTCTCTTCATCAAGAAACTGACATCACAATGCAGAATAGACTGAGCTCACTTCATCGGAATGGCAAAAGGAGGTATGAAAACGGTTTGTGCACTTGGTTTGGCACAAGAAGAAACATATAAACAACTGTATTCTTTAAGAATTTTTTCATAAAATGCTAGAAATCAATTGTAAATTTTTTATTTTATTTTTTCTTTGAATATAATTTAACATTTTATTCAAAAAACAAAAGTTGAGAGAGTGACGAAGAAGAAGAAAATGGTGAGGCAGTTCCCTCTTGATTTGTTTCCTATTTATCTATAAATGTGATTCAAAAATTTTTCAGGACCAAATGCAGATATCTTGGTGAATCTGATTATACATACTATCTCCAACTACTATTTTGATCGTTTATGTTGTTTTGCAGTTTCATGCGCTTCTGTCATCACAGTTTCTAAGTTTTTTTTTTTTGAATAAATGTTAAATTTATTCGAACAAAAAAAAAACCGTTTCTACATCAAAAGTGCGAGCGTTTAGATCAACTAAAGCCATTACTTTTTCTCTAGTTTGCAGCATAGGATGCAAACCAATTTTGCAGTCCCTCATCAAATCTTTTGTCTCCAAGAAGTCGTATAGTGCTAAAACAATTCCTCATTCTCTTTGTCCATGGTCTTGATTAAGGTCTGCTCTGTTGCTGGAATATGGTCATGCCTTCAAGTGTTCTTCTCTCTCCACAAAACATAGATCGTCAATTGAAACACATATCATATAGTAAAGCTCTGCAGATAACTCTTATATGGCTTTGATACAAGATCAGATATGATGAACCAATCCGTAGAAAAATCTGTTGCAGAATCCCTCTTGCTGATCTCTCCCATAATTTTGTCGAGAAAGGATAAGAGAAAAAAAGATGACTCCTTGTTTCCCATGGATCTCGACATAGAACACAGACTGAGGAGATGTTGGCATTCCAAGCTCGCATACGATCCCCTGTTGTCAGCCGATTATGCATTGCAAACCAGGTAATGAACCTAAACTTAGGGAAATGACGCTTAAACCAAACTCCTTTGTGCCAAGATACTGTTGATGATCTAATGCGCAACTGATCTCGTGTTGGAGCTGTGCTAAAGTGAGCCTTAAACTTGTCTTCCTTCCATCTCCATAAATACAAGTCCTCAGTCTCCTGGTTATATCGCAGCCTGAAATTCGCTATCTCATCCTCCACCTTGTTAAGAATCAAGACTCTGTGTCGTCGTCTCCTATGAGAAAGCATTACCTCATCTAAATATGCCACATCTGAAATACCCAATTCAATAACACCTCGAGCCCCCATATGTGGTAAGATATTCCCCAGATCCGACCAGTTATCATACAAAAATGTTGTGGACCGACCATTACCAGGCTGAACTTTAAGAAACTGGATTGCTTGTTGTCGACATTTAAGAATCTGCTTCCACATCCAAGATCCAGGAGATCCATTAGTAAGAGCTAGCGTTTTCCAAATGGAGTTGCCACGCATAAGATTCGAACGAATCCATCTAACCCACAAAGAGTTATGTTCCGTCAAGATCCTCCACACAAGCTTAAGGACACATACCTCATTCACCACTTGCAAGTTTTGTAAGCCCAAACCTCCTTTGTCCCTTAGCTTACAGACATCTTCCCAAGCGACCTTTGCTTTTCTAGTAATAAGATCAGGACCAGACCAAAGAAAGCCAGAGCCTATGCTCTCTATTTCATCGATACACCTATTGGGCAGGTTGAAAGCTGACATCCAGAAGTTCGTCAAACTAGCAATGACCGATTGGAGTAGCTGTACGCCAGCAAACGACAATGCCCTCGCTGTCCATAGTTTATTCATTGTTTAATCTTATCAATGAGAGAAATATAGTCCAACGAGCTCATCTTCTTGATGAGAAGAGGAAGTCCAAGGTATCGAACTGGTAGCACGTCGAAAGTAAAGGAGAATCATTGCGATATTTGGGCTATGACAGCATTTGTCACTCCTTCTAGATTGGCTGTAGATTTCTCTACACTGATCTTCAAATCCGACATTTTGGAGAATTCATCAAAGACCTTTAGAATACCTTCAATAGATCTTAGGGAATCCTCCGAAAAATCATTAGATCGTCTGCAAAGCATAAATGGGTAAGACCTATGTTCGAGCACTTTGAATGATAGCTGAACATATCTGGTTCACTCCATTATCAAGCATAGCAGAGAGAACATTCATACATATGACAAAAGATATGGAGATAGCGAACAGCCCTGTCTCAGACCTCTTGAACTCCTAAAATATCCTGATAGTTCCCCATTTACCTGCACTGAGAATGATGTCGTGGATATGCATACACCAATCCAGGGAATGAACTCAGATGAT